GGAAGCCAGTCTGTTTGGATCTTATCATTGTACATCCTGAAGTTGGATATCATTGTTATTGAACATGAATGAGAGGCTTGCCCAGGCTGAAGTTGACGCTTTCATCCATGTATTTTATTTCCCCATCATATGGCAGCTTCTCTTTCCCAAATAAATATTCCTTTTTTATTTTTTGAGTGAGAAGTCTTCAACAAAATAAAAGCCCTTCTGCTATGGCCATTTTCCTCCGCGACTATATACATATATTTTTTTTAAAGGCTCAAGTGAAGTGTAAAGAGTAAAAAGAACTAAAAATTCCAGCCAACTCAGGAACTAATCGTGCAAAAGCTTAAAGGGTACTCCTAAAAACTTATAATTCAAAAAACATCAACAGATTTTGGTCCACTAAACATTAACTCAAGCTTTGACAAAAACTAAAAATTTGAAAGATGGGTTTTTCTTGGTTTGATATTTTATTTTAGTTATAAGATTTCTTCATTATTGATGGGTTTTTCCTGGATAGCTTGGAGGGATGTTGGCTCAACAATCAAACAACTGCAAACATTCAAACGCTTTCACAAGTTAAGATTAGTGCACATCCAATTCTTGATAATCGTTACCTGGTTGCCCAATTTATTGGAGGAATGAGAAGCCTTTCTTTCTTTGGAGGTTTAGGTTTAGCTTTTGTAGCCTGCTCTCTTTGGAGGGTATCAACGTGGAGGATCTATGTTGCGCAAAATCTATTGGCTTAACATGGAGCCGATGACCAGATGACAGAGGCACCAGCCCTTAACCCAACCCATCTTTTGTTACCTCCCAAAACTAATGGCCAGCAAGGTAGCCCCCTCAAATAAACCCCGCACACAATCCCCCTCATTATAGCCGCACCGTTGCCGGATTACATAATAAACTTCTTTAGTTCTTAAGATCTTTTCCTAAAACAAACTATTGCTTATGACCCAAGCTGAGGAGCATAGCAATCTGTTGGAACTTGGAGCCCAACCTCTCAAGAGCTTTGGCAATTCCTTGTTGACAAAATATGATTCAAGATAATAGCATCAAAAATTTACATTGTGAACGAAACAACTTCTTCAAGTGTAAAACTTGAAAATAAATACGATAGGTACCGTACCACAAGAACTCTTTACATAAAAATATTAGATATGAATGCATGATGTAGCATAGTCTCATGGACTTGACAACAAACAGAGTATGATGATGGACCTGCACCAAACTGTGACCTTTGACAGCAAGCCTGCATAATTCCAACCGAGTTGCATCAATCTGTGCAATTTTACCAACTTCATTTTCATTACTAGCTCCAACCCTCTTTACCTATAGTCGAAAATGAAGAGAAATACAAAATAAAGGTTGAGATTCGGTGAAGTTTAGAGGCGCAAAAAGAGAAGATAAGCAATGAAAGGGATAGAAGTATATACACCCACCGAAAAATGATGTTATCCCCACTATCTGAAGAGAAAAAGTTATAATATAACACAAACGCACTTGTTCTGCTGCGGTTCACTCATCAGTTTCTTTTCTGTTACAGTTGAAAGATACACATTTAATTATAGATCATGTAGAAGCATAAAAACAAAATAATTTCTATTTGTCATGACTCATGACATGTAGTTAGATGATTCAGGCCTTCTTTTGGTGTTTCTCCTATTCAGGAGGTGGCCAATAAAAGAAGTGCGGGCCTAACAACTATAAGTGACAACAACAGCATGTATTTGTGAACCTCACAAAATCTGTCATTGCCTAGTCTTTTCCATTTCCCTCAAACAGGACCACCACACATTAAAGAGGAAACAAAAAAAAATCTTCTTGATGTTATACACATGATTTCTATTCAAGAGCACATAAAAATCAGATAAACTGCTTAGTTTGGCAAAAAAAAAAACACCCCCGCCAAAAAAAAAACACCTACTGTTAAAAGCAGAAGAAAAAAAACATGGTTTCTTTTTTTACCTGTAAGTTGTTTCCAAAAGAAAAGAAAGTAACAGAGACTATATCTTCTTTGAGACTTTAGCCAGAAACAAAAACATAAAAATAAAACTTCGGTAATTTCTAGTTTCACACAGTGGTTTACATAGAAAACTTTGGTTCTGTAGTCTCAGAATATACTTTTACCTTTCTCCAATGAAGGTGGTTGAACAACGACATGCATAGTTGTAACTCCACCAGGGACATCACATAATGGACTTCGGCACTCCCCAACTGTTCTGTTGTTCTCCAATATTCTTCCTGCGCTTATTAGCTTGACATCTTTAACAGTCCTTGGACCATTCTCCTTCTCTGATTCAAAACAATAATATTATGCTTAATCAGCTCAAATACATTAAACAAGTCACAAAAGTTCATCATGCATGCCAAATTTTTTTGACAAAGAAGCAGTATTCTAATGGTAATTAAGAAACATTAAAGAGAATGGAGAAATCTGAGATTCAATGATTTCATAGTGTCATTGCTTCTATCTAATGCTCTGAAGCCATGCTCAATTGGCTCAGATACCAAGTGCAAGTAGGAGAGAAGTACTAAGACAGTTAAAAAAGGCTGCCAGTAAAAGGAATGGTATATGTCCTCAATCACTAGCCCATGTAACATAAGCAGCTCTAAGGTGCTTTTAAGTCTTTATCCATTGGCTTGGTTGCTCATATGAAAGCGGAGATATCAGTTAGAATGTCTCAAGGGTAATAAACATGTAATGCAAATGCAACTAAACATTGCACCTAAGTTACCAAGAAGTACACCTAGAGCCAATAAAAAATTGAACTGCAAAGACAACACAAGTTCACAATATCAAGTGTTGAGAAGACTATCCCATAGTCACTTATTTAAGAGATCCTGTTCTGGTTAAGGTATCACTTCAGAGAATCTAACATAGAACAGAGATATGAACTATGATCTGACGCTAACCAATTCCAAGTCCCTCCTGCAACGTTTACATATAAGCTTGCTGAGACTGATTTGTTTTGCAATCAAACACCCAACAAAAAAGCAAAGAAGTTTTTGGTTTTTAAAGAAAATTGAAAAAACCAACCTTTAGGCCATTGCGCAAGAATGCTTTCCTTCAAGGTTACAACACTTGTAGCAGCAGGAAAACTTTTGGGGCCAATATCTGATCCATCAGTCAACCGAAACTTGATCTCCAATTGATCTTGCACCCCAGCCATCTTCAAAGAGTTCAGAAGTATAAGGATTTCTACTTGTTCAAAAGAATTAAAATCCCAGTGTCTCGGGTTTTTCTACAGGCAATCGATATAACGAATTCTCCAATTGGTCAACGAGAATATAAACAAGGAAACAATATAAACTACGTAAATTTGCAACAATCTTAGAATAAAGACTAAGACAAATAAGGAAACACTTTAAACTCTGGACGCGTATATTTGTAATGGTGATTAAAGCTTTCAACTTTCAAGCAAAGAAAAGGAGCTGTGATTCAGTATTGAAATCAGTACATAGAGGAAAATCAAAAACAGCTATGATTTAACTGTTAGCATCCGTTAAACCAGCAAAGCTTCAAATGGGTGCTATTAGAATCCAAAAAGCTACAAGAATTCTCAACTGGGTCGTCTCTAAAACAAGCACAAAGCAAAGACCAGAGAAAAATGAAAACTTTGATGGTTTTGTCTTACTTGGCTGTGAAACTGATCTGGGTCCTTCTGTATGTTTTGAACAGTCAAGTGGTTCAGAAATCCAAGCGAAGAAGAAGTAAAATGGGATTTTTGGTATAATTAATAAGGGAAGTCAGAGTGGAAGAGATCAAATAGTAAGAAGTTCCAGGAGACAAACGAGGCTGTTTCGGAGTTTTCAAAGTCTTCTAAATCTGTGGTCAATGACTCCATTGCCTTCTCCTTGCAATCTCCTAAGGCTATGGAAATGGACACATTTTCTCTCCTTTTAAAAGTGTGACCCTTTGGCTTTTGCTAAACTTCCAATTCCAAAGTCTTTCTATTTCCATTTCCTTTTCTTTTTTTGGGGTTAAAGTGCCAACTTCCAATGTCACATTAGTGACAATACAGTAAATCAGACACTCAACAACTTACCTTACATGTACATACACGTACATGCTTCATCCCAGCCTGTGGTTCATTGTTCATGACCCAATAATACCTTTTTTTAAGACCCAACTCAATTCTATCTTCAGTGTGAAAATTTCCCATTTAGCGGAAACACAATCCAATGAATTGTGATTTACCTACACATTAGTAAAAAAATGGTGAAACTGCGTGTAACCACGACAAATGTGTTCCTATTTCATATAAATTCGCATTGTAGAAAAATCCACTTAAAAAGAGTTTACTAATAAAAAAAAACTTGAAAAATAAATAAAAAGTTAGAATGGATTGGTGGTCCAAAAATTTAAGGGGGGGGTGTAGTAGGAGAATGGTCGTTATCTCATATATCTGTCAATAATGAAGTTATGATTTTGAAGTTATCTCAACTCTATGTCGACACACAGGCTGATGGCTGGTGGAAGGACAACAAGACAAACAACAAACATTACCGTCTTCAACATTCTCCTTTGGCCTTTGGCCTTTGGGTCATGCCCTATGACTAAATTGCAGCATCTGAATTCTGAGCCTTTGAGCAATCACCAATTAGGTTAGGAGGACTTATTGTGGGTTGTATAATTCCTTTTTTTCTTTGAGGATCTTTCTTATTGAGATTGGCGATAGTTATCATATTAAATGCACACACACTACACGAATGTTAGAACTCGAATCCAGAACCTTACTTGGGGGAGTAAATGCTCCAGACCACTACACTAGGGTGTAATAATTCCATATTTACTGAGGCAAAATCTGAATTTTATGAGCTGCATGTCAAAATACAACTGCAATGTATGATTGGGTAGGTGGGCAGATGAGACCATGATATGTATGTATGTCCAAGAAGGCAAGAACCTCTCAGATTCTTCCATTTGAATTGTTAGGCTTTGGAATAATCTATTAATTGTTTATACAATTACAATAAGTGCCACTCAATGCATCCTTAATCATTCACTTAAAAAATTAAATTTTTTATATATTTTATTATGGGAAAGCAAAATGCCGAAAGGGTCTGATCAACTGTGGGCCAATTAATTTTTATTAAATAGGAAATGCGGGTGGCTTAAAAGGAAACGCCATACGCATTGAAATATCAGAAAACTAGCACATTTGGTCGTCTAATGCAATTTGCAAAATATCAAATTGGTAGGTTGATGGCTTTCTTGTCATCATCAACTAAGAAACATTCCACTTGTAAAGAATCTCTTATTAATAAAGAAAAATATTTGGGTAGAGAATCTCTTCTTGAGTTTGAAAAGACATGTTTCTCAAAGCTTTGATGAAGGTCAAGACTGAGTCTTCAAGAGTGCCATGCCAAACACAACGGTTCAAAAAAATTACAGTTAAAATGACCAGATAAATTGTACACGTTTTGGATGGTTGCCACCAGAGTTGAATCCTTTAGGGTTATTATACTTCTTCTAGACGGCCGACAAGAAATCAAGGATACCAAACTTTGTAGGGTACTAAACCCTAATGAATACAGAGGGCATAAAAACAACATGAATTTAGAAATATAATGAGACTAACTATAAAATCCAGGAAAAAGAATTTATCTGCACATTTTAAATCTCTCGTGAACAGTACATAAACAAATACCGATATATAACCTAAAAACAGCTCCCCAATTCAATGGGACCTGTAACAGAGCAATCTCCATGTCCTACTCCTAAAGTTCAACATCATGATATCAAATAAAGAGGGGAAGAAATGGGTGCTAACAAAAATGAAGACAAGAAAAGATTTTTAAAGGGCAAAAAAATGAAAGTGAAAAAACATATCTGGGCTAATGGGAGAGCCTCACAAAAGACCTGTCCTAGCCTTTCTCTTCCCTACACCAACCAGTATGATGGTATTGACATAAGGCACTTGTCATCTGAATTTCACTTTATTCTGATATATGTGCTAAGGAATCAAGCAAAACCCCAGCCATGAAGACCAATAATACTATCCTTCTCCGAACCAAAAAATGAGGACAGATTGCTATGTTACAGAATGAAAGAATGAATCTCATGCTGTGATAATATGATGCTGGTCATTGTCTGCAGAATTTCAAGGGATGAAAGTGATTCTTGAACCTGGAAGTTCTACCCTATCGGTGAATTTTCTGCTTGTCTTCTCAAATAGATCTCGAAAAAATTTTGCGCTGCAAAAAAACTTCATGAATCCCATATAACTCTTGTCATTTCCTGTCCCATCTCCTGTTTTTAGCACCTCCAGATGATCAACTATGAATCCAAGATGTGGCAGTTCCTAACAAAATCATTGGAGTAGTTGACATACTTGGTCCAAAATGGCCGAAGATGCTCAAAGCCAATCTGCAACCACGGTTTTGACTGACCATTATAGTGGATAACTGCAGCCCTTGCCACACTGTCAAGATTGGTTTTATTTTGATAACCCAATCCAAGCATGTGCCATGATGGATCAATTGGGTGAACATGACCTCTAAATGCAATTAAAGCGGGTGGTAGGGTTCCAAGCTTCCACATTGTCAGGTTTGACTTCAGATTCTGCACAAGAAAATCAATTAAAGTAAGTTGCAATAATCCATATGCTATGCGCAAATAACTGACTTTCAAGACTAAGTAAGATACGGTTGAAAATGACCTCAAAGAATATGGAAAAGAAAAAATTATAATAAAATAACCCAATGATGCAGAGTTTACATCACCATTAGAGCCTTGCTGAATTTGCAAAGTTTACCAGATCTATCATTCCAATAAAAAATGAAAAAGATGAACAAAACCCCACGTGTGTAAGGGAAGCTTTTACTACTTCTACTTTACCTCTTTCAGCCAGGAATGGTAAGTTTCTCTTATATTTGTTTTTCTCCATGTACTGAGATCAAAAATATTCATCCCATAAGCCCATGCACATTCTTCAGGGTCCAAATTCTTTGCTACAAGGGGATGGGAAAAATTGAAGTAGTTCCTGAACCGCTTCGACATTACCCACTCATCTTCACCTCTACAAGTTTCGACAGCTCCATTGACCTTTCCCCCAAGGTCAATTTCCCAAAGTGGTGATAAGTCTTTCTGAATAACAACATCATCGTCTAGGAAAACTACCTTGTCAAGGTTGGGAAATAGCTGTCACAGTATACATGATCAGCACACGCACTTTGACATTACAAAATTAAAAGAAAATCTTATAGAACATTATCAAACAAACAGAAACCACTTTAATATTAAGCATCATCTGTAAAAAACCATATATAAAAAATTGCAAAAGTATCGAAGACTCCACATCTCCAACTTAGGGAAGGGAGTTACCTCAGGGATATATATACGAAGATGATTGAGTAAGGATATGTATTTTGGACTTCTAGCCTGCAATTTTGATGCAAATGTTCGTGGAGTTGTAGCACTAAGATTAGCCCCTGCAATATGATTCCCATGGTAATAATTCCTGATCCCATTTTGATTTTCTACAGCTTCAAGGACTGGAACATTTTCTCTTGTTAACCAATCAAACTGGTGCACGCCTTTCACTTCAACAATAGCCGGGGAGACAGGGTTGAGTGCAAACCATGAGTGCATACCCGCGTAGGTTTTCTTGTCAGTAATGATATGGAAGACTATCTTTTCAGGTTTTAGAGATGACTGGACAGCAGAAGCAACAACAACTGAAGCAGCCAGAATGTTATCAGTTGATAGGATAAAGTGGTGATAAGAGTTGTCAGAGAGCAATGGCAGTAACTCTGGAGGAGGCAATTGTTTGCGTGCATGAGCATTGGATGAATATTCATCAGTCAAACGTAGAGACAGACAGTGGATGCCTTTGGGTACAGAACTTGCCGCAAAGTGTTTGTTCATCAACTCTGAAAACTTGGACTCTCTGATTTCCCTTTCAAAATTTTCCATCTACACACAAAAAAAGTACAAGATTATTCTTAAAGTTCCAACAGTTAACAAGGGTTACTTTTTTCTTTTAGGGGGGAGTGGGGGTTAGGTTTAATGGTGCTCTCTCTATCTCTCTCACACACACAAACACAAATAGACCATCCTTCCCACAAAACCTCTCTGCAATAATGAGATGTGATATGACCACATTAGGAACAACTCCAACACTACCACTCCCAAAAAGATAATGCACAATACAAAACATGAATAAAACCATGTTTCTTATAACACACAACATACCATTGCTCTTAACATGAAAGCAAAGGTCCTTGCATCATACTGGTTGTTCTTCATTTCAGAAACAAGTTGATTAAATGAATCTGGTAGCTTCAGACCAGCTGGGATTTCTTCAGTGTTCACTTGATTTAGAATCTTGTAAAAGTCTCTAACCAGTCTCTGCAGTGCCGTCACCACAACCATGAAGATCCAGCTTAGATAATCATTCAATAGACTTGCTAACCCAAATCAAAACTTAAATATAATGTCGGGAAAAAAAAATAAAGAAATTACAGCATCTGGAGAAAAAGTTATTTACCCCTGAATCATCAACCCTACCCAGAAGCCTTGGTCCCAAACGCCTACCTAAACAATCTGAAGCACAGGAGTAAAGCAACAATAAAATCACAAATTCAATATCAGAGGTTACAGAAAAATTGTGGTCCATGACCTAAGAAACACAATGTTACTATTAAAATAAATAAATAAAAAATTTGATGCTCTATAAAACCAGAGAATCAATTATGGAATACTTATAGATGGTTAAAGTATCAAAAATAAGAGAAGAACTTAGATCCATTGATAGGGATGACAAACTTAAAGATCTAAAGCAAAGAAACACCTAGAATTCAAAATTTGGGGTTGAACTATCAGAGATACCTAACCTACTCCGAAATTCCTTGAACACTTAAAAAATATGGGGTCAAGCTTAGCAGCCATTCTGTTGATTTGGTTAACCAAGGAATACATGTTATTCTCTCTCCAACT